CAAGAAAGGCAGGAGGAGGGGGCCGCGAAATATCAAAGCGGAGAGAAGAGGACGAGGCCTGGGAGTAATCTAAGGAAGCGCAACGGCAAAGGAGACCCAGAGGGCGCTGCGACGAGCTCCTTTCTCGCGGAAACGAAACCGCCCTTGGCCCGGCATTCCTTGCACGTTGTTTCGCTAATTGTGACTCCGTCGCCGCCTTTGTTTCGCCCATATTTCCACGGAGAATGAGAATTTTTACCCGGCTGCCGCTACTCCTTTTCCAGCCGCTTCCCCCACCACGCCTGCTCCTTTGGTTTTCCCGTTTCTTCCTTTGTCTTCGCGGAGGCGCGCGCGAAATTGGGGACATTTTCCGCGCCGCGGCGGACACTCGCGAAATTAAAGTGGCTGCACGCCTTCTATCCTCCTTCTCTCCTCCTTTTGTCCCTATTTTCCTCTCCTTCTCTCCTCCGCGCCCGCTCTCTGTATCTCTGGAAACGGCCCCGCGTGGCGGAGATTTATGACGAGAGATGCTCGGCGAAAATACGCTTGTGCGACGTTGAGCAGTATTTTTTTCTTTTCTTTTTCCTTTTTTCTCTTTTTCCCTTTCTTTTCCCTTGAGATGGTACGCGAACATCGTGGAGGGTTGCTTCTGGGATGTTAGTGGGAGTGCGACGACTGTTCCCGGTGACGTTGGGTCATCGGACTTGGTTCGACTTCGGCTCTGCTGTTCCACGATAGCGTATTTTTTGGGTTACGTGTCTCCGTAGGTTTATCTGATCGATGTTTGAGCCGTGAGCGTTGGGGTGACGCAATGGGGGCGGGCATAGCCGCGCGGTGGGGGTAACTGGCCGACGGAGTGGGGGAAGTCTCAGCGTTAGCCTTGAGCGCGGTTCCTTCGGACACTGTACGTTCACGTCAAAGACTTCAAACTCATAGAAAGATCTCCGTCTTTTATTAATTTCGACATATGATACAATTTTGTTACGCTTTTTTCATTTCTCTGGATTTAGAATGTGAAGAAAAATGTTTTGGTGTAAACACTGTTTTACACCGATGTGGAGACAAAGGAAACGTGAAAGCAACGCATACGAAGACGAATATTTAATCTAAACAGTGAGCAATACTGGGCTACAATTGTTGCGCGTCGTTCAGAGAGATGAAATTTTTGAAAACCACTATAGTGGCTCGTCGTGTCTGAGAGGTTAGGAATTACTGTTATTATTTTTCTGTTGTTAGTAGTTTTCATCGGTCAATTTTTAATGTTCCAAAATTCTAACTTTCTTTCCTCCTCTAATTATCTCGAAGACACTTTATACGCGTTTCGTGACGCTCGGATTAAGATTCTGTTAAAATTCCCGACCGAAGAAAACCCATAAGACCGTAACAGCGGAAATTTTATCAATGTAGGTTGCGCGGGTTAGAAAGAATATTACAAAACGGAAAGTTTCGCGAAAAGTAGCTTAATTACCGATGCAAGACCGGTGAAGGGGTTGGAAACTTTTCCACGTTCCCGTATTCGACCACGCGAAAGCAAACGCGGAATGTCATCGAGCTTACCACCGTTCCGTTAACAACAAACTCCCATTGCACGGGATCGTGTGCCGGAATTTGCATACGGGTCCCGCGACGTTAGCGGAGCCGGAAGTTGGCCCCGGAGGGCGCCACTGAGGACGTGGGAATTTCGCGAGGACGATCGACACTCGTTACTCTCTTTCTCGCCCGTGGAAAATTAATAAAATTAGCCCCCTGGAATAAACGCCGCCCCCGAAGACCGTCGGTTAACGAGCTTCCGGTTTCGAATTCAGACGCGATACGCCCGACCTGGCTAACGAGGGACAAAGGCGGCCGAAAAAGGAGAGGATCGTGGAGGGATGGATGATACATGGCGGTGAATTCGTAATTGTGTTTCCATTGAATTTACCGGCGATGAAGTAATTAAGCACCGTTTCTTGCTGCCGCGAACGCCAGTGCTGTATGTCGACGATGCTTTCCGCCTGCGACCGAATTGCTGCAAGAGATATCCGGTTTGGGCACGACGAGCTTGCTCGCAGATTAACGCGAGGCGTGATAAAATTTTTGCAAGTTGAGTCTGCTTTGATTCCTTGCATCGTTGAGATGGATCGAGATCGTAGAAATGTGGATATCAGTTAGGTTAGGATGATCGTTGGTTTGTTTCGTCCTTGAGGTGGATGAATCATACAAGAGTTAACGATAGAACAGGCAACCCAGTGAAAATGACTGGTCCAACAATTTTCCTTTTTGCAATCACCGAACACATACACCTGCTATAAGAATAAAATTGGTATCAACTCGTATTAAGGAAGAAGTTGAAGTGGGTCGCAATAAGTGTCGGCGCTCGTCGCGGCCGTCGGGACAATAGTCACGTTGTAGGCGGTTTCAAACTGTCCTGTCGTCCTCTGACTTCGGAGCTTTTAAAGCGGTCGAGTGTTCAAGAAAGGGGTAGAAAATCCCGCCAACCCGCGCGCGGGAAAAACTAAGTTTTCGCGGGAAAGGTTTACGCGGGAACCGCCCTCGCGCGGGAAAGTCGCGATGACCGCTCAGGGAGGTCGTAAATTAAGACGACCTTTGATCTGCAACATCGCTGCCTGGTCCCAGGCTAATCCCCGGCATGACATTGACGATAGCCAATGCCATCCGCGGGACAATGCCTGTTGACCTGCGGGGACGTACCCGGTGCACCCTCGACCCTAATGTCGAAATTAGTATAATCTGTGCACGTTATAGTCAGGTGCCCATTAAAGATCGGAAGTTTTAGTGTTAATACGGTTTTGACATGGACACACGAGTGAACATGGTTTAGATAAGCTTCATCGGTGATTTGCTGTATCCTTGCGATGGAAGAGAGCTGAATGCTCTTAGGTTCAAGTGAACACGTGGGAACGCTTGGACTGGTCTAGAGTTCTGAGGACAGTGTTGAAATAGCGAGTGTGGCGATCATCATTCTCAGCCTCGCCGCTAGATGGATTCCGACTTCAAGGAGGTCCGAAGATTTTCTCGCAAGTTCTCGGAAGACCTCCGCTTCCTATATGTATAACTTCCCGACATTCTAATAGTATCCTTGACTTAGGCAGGACCCGATAGAAAGTGTTACTGACGAGTCTACTAGCAGGCCTAGGACGAAACGCGTCTCTTCTTTTTCCTTTCATCCCTTCTAGCACCATCACCATCAAGGATACCTGCGATCAGCCAACGCTCAACAACTGTTTGAGAGTACTCCCCACAGGATAAATCATGCAAGAATAGGTGTGAGTTAGGTATGGATGTAGGAATGGATAGGAACATATGATAATAGGGATGAATATAGGTTAGGTTATGATCATCAGTGGTTTATTGCATCCTCGAGATAGACTACTAGTGCAAGAATAGGTATGAATAAGGTATGAACATAGGAATGGATAGGAGTATATGATAATAGGAACAAATATGAGTGAAATTAGGGTCATCGGTGGTTTGTTGCATCGTTGAGATGGATCACTCGTGTAGGAACAGGTATGAGTTAGGCACGGGCGTGGAAATGAATCGGAATATATGCTAATAGGAATGGATATGGGTTAGGTCAGGATCATCAGTGTAGGAATAGGTATGAGTTAGGTACGGATGTAGAAATGGATAGGGATGCATGATAATAGGAACGGATATGGGCCAGGTCAGGCTCATCAGTGGTTTGTTTCATGCATGAGGTGGATGCATCGTGTAAGAATAGATACGAGTTAGGTATGGATACACCAGTGGCTATAGCTTAGGTTAACTTCATCCGTGGTATGCTATATCCCTGCAATAGATAAATCATGCAAGAATAGACACGAGTTAGGTATGAATATAAGACTGGATGTATTTTAGGTTAGGTTCATCAGCGGTATATAGCATCGCGATTTATGGCACCGTTGAGATGCAGTGTTCGCGTAGCTTAAATATGGATACTGAAATGGATAAGAATATACGACAATAAGAATGTGTGTATAGGTTAGGTTAGGATCAGACGAGCGATTCGCTAGAGAAAATGTTTCCTCGAGAAGATTGGAGTTAATTGGTTCGCATGATCTTTGGTGTTTCGCTCAGAGTAGAGAATTCGAAATGCGAGAGTGGCTATAGCACGCTGGAAATTAGCCGGCTGCTCAAGGCTATTGGGAGTTCCATCCCCCACCACTCGGTTCCTCTTGAGACCTCCGTTTGCTCCGTCTTCCATTTTTCTCATTCCGGTACTAAGAAAATACGCACAGAGTGAAACATAAAATTTGCATTAATTAATAACTAATATATAATTAATCGCGGACGTCATATTTTCGAAACAGAAAAATTCATTGCATATTTTTAATAATAAATAATTTCTCTTGACAGCATTTTTGCACATCATAAATTCCTACGCACATCTATATAGCTGAGTCAAATTGACACACCCTGTATAATCGTAAATGCTTACTACATTCGTAAACGTTATCAGGTTGCTCGAAAGTTGAATAAAATAGACAGAAAAGGGCTGGAACAACGAGGAAATTAATTTTCGTTTAGTTGGAATTTAGTTGCAAAAACGGGCGGGTAATATTAATCGAGTCGGTGGATCGTGAAAGTTGCGCATGCGCGTGGACCAATGGTAGGAATTCCTACCAGCGGAACGCGGCGTAGACAAAGCAATTTCCGGGGAAGTTCCCTTTGGAGGAATGCTGCTGGGGCTTCTTAAGTTTCCCGGGACGAGGAGTTGCCAGTAATTTTCGCGTCGCCAGCAAATTTCGTTTCCCTTCTCGTTATCGTCTCGTTTAAGCTTTCGTTTCGCGCGGCTCCGATATCCTATCGTGTCAATAATAACCGTTTCTCGTAGTACAATGGAATCGCGTTACTCGCCGTTGGACGTTACCATCAGTTAGCTCTAGGGAAAAGAAAGGGGGAAAAAAAAAATAGGGAGGAAGAAATGAAAAAGGAGAAAAAAATTCATCGAGCACTTCGTTATGGTCGCTAATTGGCAGTATGCCGTACTAACTTTCCGATAATTCTTTCTGTTGCAGATTGCTGCGCCACTGCTGCCTAACCTCCACAACGCTTTGTTGAGCAACGCAGGTACGCCCTCTTTCAAATAGTCATTACTCTGGTTAGCGCAACGAACGGTGAAACCGGGAGGGAAAAAGTGGGAAAATGAAATTGGAAATACCTGGTGAAATGTTTAACAGCGACGTTGTTCCGTCGCGTGTAAAGGCAATATTTGTTTGGGAAAGTGACTAGGGTATAGGGGAATTTCTGCGCGTGACGGAATTGTCGGGAATGCGACAGTTCTTTGCAACGGAAAGTAATTATATCGGGAAAAAAGATTTCTAGTTGCAAGAAGTCACTAGGACCGCAAAAATTCCCTAGTTTCTTGAGACACGCCTTTGACATATACCGCATGCATTATTCTCGTAAAAGAAAATCCATAACAGCGCAAGAAGTATCCGGGAAATCTAGGAAAATTCGCTGGACGTACAAAAAATTCCGACAGGAAAGAGTTATCGAGGAAACTCAACGAATTCCTCGCAACAAGAAATGGTTAACTACGTGAATGATGTTCCACGGTGAAAAATTCCTAGGTCCGCAAAATTCACAGGTTTTTCGAAGCTCGCGTTATAAGTACGTCAAATATATTATCCGCTAAAAAAAAAAAAAAAAATCACCGGAGAACGAAAAGTTCCCAGAAAATCTATGAAAATTCACTAGCCACCTAAACAAATCCCCATACACAAAGGAATTAATCCGAGCTCCTAAAAAGGATTCCTCGCAACGATAAATAACTAACTACCAACAAAATTTCTTGTAATAAAAAGTCCCTAGATTCTCAAAAATTCTTTAGTCTACCAAAGCTCACATACGTTACATAATACATGAAGTACGTAAAGCACTAGCCTCTCAAAAAATTCACTAGATCTACAAAGATTCACTAGAACCCCTCAAAAATCCCCAGATCCTAAAGAATTATTTACAAACTCTCAAAAAATGTCACGAATTGAAAAGAAATTTACTACCTACAAGATCTCCCACAGTAGAACGTCCCTAGATCTACGAAAATTCCCCAGAACCTCCAAGCTTGCTTATACAAACACATTTTACCAGATCCGATAGTCTAGCCAGCCATTTCCGACATAGTCCGTTGCGACGAATAATAATTCCGCGTAAAACAGCAACGAACCGTCGAAACGGTTCCTCGAACACGATGGAATCTCATTTCTCGCGGTGACCCGACAAAGGGGATTTATCGAATTTTACGTTGAACGGGAAATTTATTCCTAGCCAACGACCAGGTCCCGAGTGGCGGCGGTGGGGGCGGAATAGAGGTTGGTTGTCGTCGATTATTAAGTACGGCAAAAAGCTCGGTGCCCCCTTTTTCCTCGCAAATCACGGGTACACCGATGACAGGGCCGCGGCGACGAGATCCGCGGCAAAACGAAGAAAATCGAGGGGAGCACAAAGGGCTGTTATACTTGGTACGGAGGTAACTCCGCGCCGCGAAACAAAGGCTGGAACCGGCTGACGGCTGATAAAGGGATCGCTTCTGGCCTGGGAGACGCCAGGTCGATATTTCGACCTATTCGCGGCCTGCCGCGGAACGAGAAAGTTTCCGTGGTGTCGAATGGGTCCAGGCTTCCGTGCCCCGTTCCACGAGAAAAGAGTAGCCACTTAATTGAAGCCATAGCACTGGTCATGTGAACGTTTTCATATTTTCTGAGTGGTTACCAAACGTCGATGCTCAGGGACAAATATTGGAAACCCTTGTTGGGGTCCTTTCATGGGAGTCCAGCTTCTTTCCTTATGAGGTAGGGAGCAAGAAATGGCGTATGGGGGTCCTCCCTCAGTCGAAGTCTGCTTGTAGCATCCTCTGTGTCGCAATGGGGTTTGCTTCAGTTAGAGTAACGACTAGATGGAACGATAGGAAAAGGAAGGGATGCGTGTTTTGTCCTAGGCCCTGTCAATGGACTCATCAGTCCTCATCTAACCTAGCCTAACCTTGTCTTAGACCGGGATACTATTAGAATGTCTGGAATTTTGACGAATATTGAAAAACTCTTATCGAGGACTCTTGCATGCGAGTCCAGCTTCTTTCCTGGTGAGGTAGGGAGCAAGAAATGGCGTATGGGGGTCCTCCCTCAGTCGAAGTCTGCTTGTAGTATCCTCTGTGTCGTAATGGAGTCTGCTTCAGTTAGAGTAACGACTAGATGGAACGATAGGAAAAGGAAGGGATGCGTGTTTCGTCCTAGGCCCTGTCAATGGACTCATCAGTCTTCATCTAACCTAGCCTAACCTTGTCTTAGACCGGGATACTATTAGAATGTCTGGAATTTTGACGAATATTGAAAAACTCTTATCGAGGACTCTTGCATGCGAGTCCAGCTTCTTTCCTGGTGAGGTAGGGAGGAAGAAATGGCGTATGGGGGTCCTCCCTCAGTCGAAATCTGCTTGTAGCATCCTCTGTGTTGCAGTGGGATCTGGATGGGACAAAAGAAGAAGGCAGGGATGCGTGTTTCTTCCTGGGTCCTGTCAGTGGACTCATTAGTAAAACTACCTAACCTAGCAGACCCTTGTCTTAGACAGGGATACTATTAGAAGGTCTGGAATTTGTACATATGGGAATCGGGTGTTTCAGTCCTGTTCTGATCACGTGTCCTTCATATGCAGTTTGTATTTCCTGCCAGTTCTTGAACGTAGTACAATGTTCTTCGATGACAACTGTGAGCTGTCTGGGGCGCGATAGACTCTGATCTTCCATACTTCGTTCAGTGAGGACTGGTGGGAAATGTAAACGAGTACACGTGAACGACACGTGGTTAGAACAGAGCTGAGCGTGGTTTCCTAACCTCTCTGTGTTAGAAAAGAAGTTGAGAGGGCCCTCGGTAGGGGTCCTTTGTTATTCGTCACTGAGTACCCACATTTGGCTGTCACTCTGCTCCAGCTGAGGATCACGTGAACGTATTATTCATATTTCATGATTTTCATAGTTATTGTTGCAAAGTGTATAGACTGCAAAGTGTATAGACATGGAGATCGGTTTCGTTGTGTCTTGGGGTAGGTCCAGGGTGAGATGATCTTTTTTAAGGATCAGAACTTCAGTTTGCTGTCATTCTTATACACGATAAAGCAGGTTACTAATATTTTATAATTATAGACTATGTTAGCTAGGAAAATTAATTAAATTACGGTATTTTTATTCAGAATAGAATGAAATAAATGTAAGTCCATTTCTAGCTTTGACATGTCAATTTTGATTTTATGAGTAATAATTAATCCCAATTTTCAAAATCCGTATGAAGCACAGAAATATGAGGAGAATGAATAAAATTATTACTAATTTTTCCAAATTTATATTTTATTGCACCCATCTATCCAATTTCAGTAAGGAACTTTACACTGTCATTTTCATAATACAGAAGAAAATACTATAATAAATTTACACACCCGGATGACACTTATTCGCCTGCTTTTACAATTTTCCATACAAATAATAGCAACAAAGCACAGAAAATAAAGCCGGAACTACCAATCAAGAATCCCACGTGCACCTAGCCTCTGCCAACACTCTCAGGAAGAAATACACCCGCACACAGACACTCCTTAAAAGCCGCCACCCACACATTTTGCCGGCTAAAAAGAAACAGCTTCGGAATATCGTAACGAGGCCTGCAACTTCTCAAACTTCGCCTTGGAAAGCTGACTCGTCGACCGACGTAATTTAAAAGAAGCACCCCGTCGGCGACGGGAATAAATAGGGTGGCGTAGCTGTTAGGCGAGAGCAGATCGTCGGGATCGTCGTCATGGTCCGCCTCTTTTGATCCAGCCTTCTCAAAGACGCGGAAACCGAACGGGTTAACCAGTGGAATTCGTGGATAAAGAGCAAAGGGGTGGAGAGGGAGAGGGAGGGCGGGAAGGATGAGGAGAGGGATGCTTGGACCGGTTGCAATTTGTATCTTTGCTTCTCGCAGCGCGGCAATTTGGCTTCGAATTAACGGAAATCCTCGGATCGGGAATGAAAGAAGGGACGCGCGAGTGGATGTCATAAAGGAAGGGCGAGGGGGAGAGGGAGGACGCGATAAGGGCTGTTGTGAAAGAGGGTAGAAGCTGCTACGAGATTTCTCGCGACTCTTAATCCTTTGTGATTCTATGTCGAACCGAATTCGATATCCAATTTTCCTCTATCTCTTCCGCTTGTATTTCTCCTAGGGTGTAACGAAGTTTTTGTCCTAGGTCCAGGTTGTAGGCCAGTGATGGAGGTGTACAGTTAGGTACACCTGTTTTTCTTGCAGTTTCTCTTGTAGAGGATTCCTCTTTGGATGGTTGACAGTTCACAGTCAAATTTAGTTAAAGTAAGTTAAAATACTCAATTTTCCTTGACAGGATATCTGTTTCTGATCTATTAGAATGACAGACTGTCGATAATTCTATCCCAGAAATAGTATTCATTCGCGTCTTACAATTTTTGTCGATAAATAAATCTTGTTCGAATCTCTGAAAATGACAGAGATATTCCTCTAAAGTCATTATTCCAGTCTGTACGTTTTGCAGAACTGACAGAATATTCGGTCTGATTCGTCATGATAAGATGTGCTCTAGTTCTTTTCACTGCAATTATGAAGATAGAGCGCGCGAATCTCCACGACTGCCTAAAAGGACCATGACAAACTGGATGCATCGAGATCAAATGAGGTCTAGCGTGATAAAGAGTGACACGAAGCTATCCAGCACAAGCTGCAACGAGTGTCCATGTGTCTCGTTACACTGATATATCAGTACACCGTCAGAAGCATCGAATAGAGTACCCATCTTGCACCTGTACCACCCTAGCTTCCAACTTTTCATAGTGCATCCTCGCAAGAAGCCTCCCTAATAGAACCTAATCAGTCATAACGTAATAAGTTCATCTCCTCTCACAAGATTACAAAGATCAGGTCCACGAATCTTCATTATTCTCTAAAAGTATCACACCTGAGAAAAGGATCATGCAACATCACGCGAGAAAGAGAACAATCGGGATACATAGAATCCTAATGAGACAGGAAATGAATGTCTGTAGCAGTTTATTAACCACTTAGCATAATACG